TTTCATGCTGAACATTTATTTATAATTATGAGAAACACCAAAGGGGTGCAGTTCTAATATAATTTCAGGCAACAAATACTTTTATAAAGGAGAACCTTTTGGGGACCTCTATAATCCTGTCTCCTGATCCATCTATGTATATTAGGCAAATAGTAAGTTCTCAATAAATGTTAGTTAGAAAAGTAAATGCATAAATCGAGTCCTGGTAATCATAATAAAAACATTCTTTCTTGTGGAAATGTGTTGGTGATTATAGATTAGACCAGCTGCAGCATTCAAACAGAAATTAGAGTCTTAATGGACAATACACCAGCATGGAACCCCAGAGTTGGACAGAAATTTTCTGTGCTCATTGGAAACTTGGCTCTGACTCTGGTTTCTCTGTCACAGATTTTGGGGTGGGAGAGTGCTCTCACAGGGAAAGCAGCATGAGCTGACATGGAAAATGAATAGAACCTTGGCTGGGCTAGGAGTCATTGCTATTTTAGTCACTTCCAGATATCTGCTGCTATAGTTTTAAGGGGCAGGGAAAGATGAGTGGAGGGTGGCATGCCACTGGGTAGAAGATGAGGAGCGTTCTCCTTTGAAGCCTCTCAAGTTGTATTTAAAGCCACCCCTCAATATGGTACAAAGATGGATTGGATAAAGCCTTTAAAAACTGTGCTCTTCTATTCACAATAGCGAAGACTTGGAACCAACCCAAATATCCATCAATGACAGACTGGGTAAAGAAAATGTAGCACATATATACCATGGAATACTATCCCTGTCCGGGGGTCAGGGACTAAGGGAGGGATAGCATTAGGAGAAATACCTAATGTAGATGACAGGTTGATGGGCACAGGAAACCACCATGGACATGTGTACCACCTGTGTATCAAACCTGCACCTTCTGCACGTGTATCCCAGAACTTAAAGTATAATAATAATTTTAAAAATTAATTAATTAAAATATAAAAACTGTTCTGTTTAATAATATTAATTCATTTACAGACTTGTTTGCATATATATCAAATAGGCAAACTGCAGGAAACCTTGTGAACTAATCATGACTCTGCCTGCCCCCAGCCAGAAAAATAAAACAAAACCAAATCAGAACTATTCTTGGGCTTTGGCTGTGATCTAGTATTTATGAAATGCCAGCCATTGAACATATGTTGAATGGTACATATGCCAGATGAGCTGGCTGCCCCCAGAAGCTATTGTGCTAACCTAACAAGCTCACCAGATGCTTGTTATATACCTACTTTCTCCTTTTATGTTATTTTTGGTGTGTCTTTTAATCCCAATATTATCATTATGAATTAGATGAAAGATACCAGGTGGAGGTGACCCCCTCTGAAATATTCTCAAAAGGGATGTCTGGGGTTCTTTTCAAGAGGCTCTGGCACCACCAGGGACCAGTCTAGGGGTATAGATCAAAGTCTGTGCTGGGTTCATAGAGTTTCTTGTTTTTTTCTTTCACCGAGAAGGTATGGCACTAGCATGATATAACTCTTGCTAGATAAAGAAAGCATGGGAGAAGCTGTATAGTACAGTGGTTAAGCATATAGAATTTAAATTAGACTCAGTTCAAGTTCAAACACTGTCACTCATTAGTTATGTGAACTTGGACAAATTAACCTCTCTAAGGCTCAGTTTCTTCATCTGTAAAATAGATATTGTGATAGTAGCTATTGAATTTTTGTGTGTGCAGGAGAGGGGAAAATTATGGTAAATAATAATTCCTCCCTTGTTCAAGAAGATTGTGAACTAATCAGAAATATAACAAAGGGTAAGACCAGTGGAGGTCAACATGC